TAGTCATATTTTGGGTCTTTTCACAACAAAGGCTGGAGACTTGCTCCTGTGCACAGTCTTACCCTGTCTCACTACCTCGGCGAGGATCTTTCATTTTCCTTACATTGTACCCTATATTTATTTATTTATTTATTTATTTATTGACATGTTTGCATGTACAGACATTTTTTGCATAGCACACAGTGTCCCTGAACAAGCAGAGGAGACCTCTTGCCCCCCAAAACCTAAGGATAAATGAAGGGAGGGTGAAGCAATCAACCATTCCTCTACCACTGAAGGGACATGCCCTACTCCAGTCCATTCTCTCCCTCTGCCTCCCAGCTGCTCCTGGACCTGCACTTCCACTCGCCTTGCACCAGGTCTAGCAATCGTGGAATCAGTTTAGAAGGCATCAAGTGAAATTAACTGACAGAGAACCAGCCCACACTAGAAAGTTTTCTCTTTAATTGGGGAACTTAGCTTGGATTTGGAAGCATCTAGTGAGAGTCATGCCTGGCAGAAGGGAGGGAAAAACCTGTCATGTGACTGAGGACAAGCAGCGGGAGTGAAATCCCCCTCCTCTGGCAAAAGCAAGCAAAGGACCAACTCCAGTACCTCTGAGACCTCAGCCTAAACCTGTGGGAACCCCATTTATGGTGTTATGCCTTGTTCAACCACACAGCCCCATCCAGAGTAAAACCCACACCCTGAAGCCACATCACTGCATTATCATTTCCAAATAATTTTCAACCTTTGCTTCCAAACACGTGACATAAGAATCTAAGATTTTGGACTTAAAATAAAATGTGTTCATGCATAATAAATTAATGCTTTAATTTACTTTAAACTTAGGCTCACTAGTGTCATTTTTCACACAAATTATGTACTCCAAAAGTTCTAGCAGAAGGAACTACTCAGATTTGTGCTTTATTTGTTACTGCTGTTCCCTTACAATACTTGACATAAATTCCTTTGTTTCAGAAATGGTAGTTCATACACTGAGCCCAAAGTGCATATTATCATGGCAGAGATAATTAATTTTAGCAGAGTAATAGACTGAATTGTTGCCTGGGAAATCAAATTCCACAAATGGTGGTAAGGCTGACTCATTGCCTATGGTAACAAAATGATATGCTGTAAAATGTAGATTAAAAACTGTACAACACTATCCAGACTACTACAAAAGGAAGTTAATAAAAATTGAGGGCGAACTGTAGAACGTTGCTGGCTCTCTTATCTTGTATTTCGTGAGCCATAAATCAACATCTTAAACCAAGTACTGTTGATTATATTAGAGTGAAATGCAAGAGCTTTTTTTTTTTTTTGTAGTATGGACTCATAACCCTTTTTCTTCTTTATGATATACACATAAACATAATACATTAATACATTTTTATAATATTTATCTCCCCGTTCACTGTTCACAAAGACGCTCACAGGGACGGGAATACCGGGCGAGTGGGAACAAGGACTGACAGCCAGGCTTCTCAGCCATGCCCCGCCACAGAGCCAGAGACAAAGGGCACAAACTGACATTAGAAGTGTTTTTTTTTTCTCTTCTTTTTAACTGCAAAGGCGATTGAGCACTGAGCAGGCTGCCCAGCGATCTCTATCCTCGGGCATACTCAGAACCCACGCAGCCCCTGCTGATCCTGCTTTGAGCCGGGCTTTGGAGTGGGCAGCCCTCCCAGAGCTCCCTTCCAGCCTCAGCAAATCTTTGAGATCCTGATATGTGGTTATTTTGCACCTGCAAGCACGCTTCTGCTTAATTTTACAGAGAAACTTTGTTTTACTCTCAAAATGAGAAATAAATTCAGAGGAAACCATCCAAGTGTAAATCCTGTGAAAACGACTGAGCCCCTCTGCACCTACCGCTATGAGTAACCAGCAACGCTAGACATTTTAAAAAAGCTATCACAAAACTCCATATTTGGTATTGTTTTATAGATATTATATATTCCTGCTTGTTTTGTAAGACACAAACCACAGACTCAATTTTAACCTAATGGAAGATTTCACTTGTGGGGAAAAAAAAAAACCCGTAAGTGGGAAGCGTATGTATTTGACCTTTCCCTGAATGTAATATTAAGGCACGCTAGATTCTAAATAGATTTCCCGCTAGTTTATTTCACCCTGCCGCTACTTCCAGCGGCGGACTGCGTGCTTTACCCCCACGGGAGACGCGCGGCTCCCTGAGGGCAGGGCGGTGCCTCACGCCCGGGGGAGGAGCCCCGCCGGGGCCGCCCCCGCCCCTGCTCTCGCGAGATGGGCGGTGCGCGGCGCGACATCCGGGAGCGGAGCGGCAAGATGGCGGTGGAGTCGCGGGTGACGCAGGAGGAGATCAAGAAGGAGCCGGAGAAGCCGATCGACCGCGAGAAGGTGTCCGGAGTGCGGGGTGCTGGTGCCGCGCCGCTTCACCGGCTGCTCCAGCGCGGACAGCAGGGGTGGGGGGGTGTAGCGAGCGTCTAGTGACGGTGTGAGGCCTCCGAGGAGGGGGGGGTGGGCGTGGCAAACGGCCCCTGGTCCTGATCCCCTCCCCACGCTCATTCTCACCCCCGCCTCGCCCCGCAGACGTGCCCGCTGCTGCTGCGCGTCTTCACCACCAACAATGGGCGGCACCACCGCATGGACGAGTTCTCCCGCGGCAACGTGCCCTCCAGCGAGCTGCAGATCTACACCTGGTGAGTGACGGCGCCTCTGCACCTGGCCGTGCCGCGGGGCCTCCCCTGGGCCCCCGGCGCCTGAGGGAGTTGTGCCGGCTCCGGTCGGAAAACTCCGGGGAGTTTTGGCCGCCGCCGGTGTGGAGCGGCTCTGGCTGTGCCCTGGCTGCTGAGAGGGGGCATCTCCCGAAGCGCAGCTTTGTGCAGCGGTGAGCGCTCAGCCGCCGAGACTGAGTGCGGCTCAAGTGCCCAATTACTGCTGCATGTAATCCGTGGCTTGTGCTGTGGCGGTGATTATCGCAACACAGCTACTCGATGCAGAGGTTCTCCTTTAATGCGTATATATTTTTCCAATAGCCCCGTTTATCCAGTAGAAGCAGCTGTCCCAGAAGGCTTGAAATGTTGTGTGAATGGTTTGTTGGTTTAACTCAGACCCTTCTGAGAATGGAGTAATGAGTTTTCTTTTTGCGTGGTAAGGTAGCAGTGCTTTAACAGAGAGCTGCTTTTTGTCACTGTCAGGTTTATTTTGGAGAACTGCCTTAGTCTCCATTACAAACATGTTAGGTTTTGTTTGTAATATTTTGAAGAATGCCTTTGAAAAGGAACTATGCTGCTTTTTAAACCCTTCATGATGTTTGCCAGAATTTTAACTCATATGTTGTGTAGTTGAATAAATCCATTTTTGTGGCTACCAAAGCATGCGGTTCTAATTTACTTCTAAGTGGGATTTATGGACTCTGTCCAGGCTGTTGGTGGTGTCTGAGTTGTTTCCCATCTGCAGAAGTCAGAGTGGGCATTGTCTGTCAACACACTGCTCCTTGGTTGCCTGAAGCTCGGAGTGAGTGCACAGTCTGTATAATTGGAGACACTTCTCTTGCAGTGACTGAGTACTTTTGTTCTTGAAATTCTAGACATGAGCTTTAGCCCTGCTCTGGTTGAAGGCTGGGTAAAGGAGTGCTGCCTGCTAGGGCAGAAACGGAAAGCTATTTTATTTTTCTGCTTTTCTTACATTTCCTCTAATAGTTAGTAATGTTACTTAAATACAGATCTCAGCTTAGGTGAGGAAACTCTTTACACTGTGGCTTGTATGAATGTATTTAAAGGCTCCTGCTGTTTAAATGGTAACTCTTCAGAGAGATCTGGAGATGCAGATGTTGAAATGTACAGAGATGAAGAGATTCATCAGGGAGAATCAGACACATTTGCACCAGAGCATGTTGCCTCCGGTGTGCTGTAAGTGGTGAATTCTCCCAGGTGTTACAGTCAGTAACTGTGGACATAGGAAATGCCAAGGCAAAGAAACATATGGTTAGGTTGTAGCAATATATTGATTCTATGTTAAATATTTTGGGAAGCTTTTTTTTCTGTTTCTTTGAGAGTATGAAGCGCTTTGGTTTCTTTGTTTAATCTAGGATGGATGCAACTCTGAAAGAGCTGACCAGCTTGGTGAAAGAAGTTTACCCAGAAGCACGGAAGAAGGGCACACATTTCAACTTTGCAATTGTTTTTACAGATCTCAAGAGGCCTGGCTATAGGTAAATGGCATTTCTTCTCTAGTTAATAGAATACTTTGGGCACCAGAACAGTAAATTATCCTTCATTAACACTGATTTAAAGTTCAGAACCTGCATACCAAACTTCTGAAGCTCTCTATGATGACTGCTACAACCTCTAAATTGTGCTTGGTCACCATCCCTGTTAATGTGTTCCCGAGACTATGAGCCTGTGTGCTCGAAGGCTTTGGTTTGTATTGGCAGCTGGAACATGGCCCTCCAACTTGAGATAATGCTTTGTTTCTGAGTTACAGCAGTGGTCTTGTAGCAGGTGTTTCTCTTCCAGAATGGCATGAGCTAATCTTTGTCAGCAGCCAGTGATGTACCCTGCTTTGGAATCTGGTGGGGTATTGTGCATTGTCTGTATGGCAGGGGGTAAGGGGTTCTCACTGGTATTTAACATAAGAGGGTAGAAGGCTCCTCTGTGCTGTCAGACAGAGCAGTTGGTGCACCCAGGATTGCAGAGAAAACCCCAGTGTCCTGAGTACACAGCCATGTTTGTGCCGTGCAGGGAATGGCATGGGAAGGCAGTTAGGAGCAGTGCAGTTCCTGTTTGGACATCTGGAGAGATTGGCCTCTGATAACTAACTTGCCTTTCCTCTGCCACTCACAGGGTGAAGGAGATCGGCAGCACCATGTCGGGCAGGAAGGGCACAGATGATTCCATGACATTGCAGTCTCAGAAATTCCAGATAGGAGACTACTTGGATATAGCAATTACTCCTCCGAATCGTGCACCACCCCCATCGAGCCGCATGAGACCTTACTAGAGTCTTGCTTCTCTTTGTATGATTATGTATTCTGTTTACTCCTACTTGCTGTTCTAAAGCAGGCTTATTTTTTTGCTTTTGTTGCTAAGCACCTGAAGACATAGCTGAGCATTGTAGAAGAAATTTAACTTTTAAACATTAACTTTTAGTTTGTTTAGAAGAAACCCCTTCAGCAGTGCCATTATCCTATCCCTGATTGTTATAGTTTGAGTAGTAGATTAGTGTGTCCAGTGTTCTAAAGAATTCCATGAAATATGACCAGGAGGATTACAGGTGTTCTGAAGTTCTGTCTTGTTTGGAATAAAAATTGATGTTAATCCTTTGACTGTTTAGTGGTGTATCAATGCTCAAGGCTGCTCTGTGTTAGAAGTTACTAATGGTGCTGGGGAGTGTTGAGCAGTGTAGAATCTGAAAATAGAGGAAGGGGTTGCTCAGGTCTTAGTTATCCGTGAGGCAGCTGGAAGATTGGTGTGTGGTGTTGCCTGGTGCCTTAAAAAGCATGGATGAAGAAGGGGTGACCTGTGTCTCAGCAAAGTGGTTGGCGTTTGACTCCCTCTGTCACTGCAGGGAGAGAGGCTGAGATGTGCAGGTACCTCTGGTCTTCCAGCAGGGTCCAGCTGTCCTTGCCTGACTGGGAGCATCCAGCTCGTCTGGGCAGGACGAGGTGCTTGGTTTCTGCACCTTGAGCCCCTGTGTGCTAAGAGCAAGGCAAGGGCAGGAGTAGAAGCAGTAACTCATTAGAATCTCCACCTTCCTTGCCTAAGGGCTGAGCAGAGGCTAGGACTGCAGTAAATGTTCCTGTCTGCTGAGGACAAGGTGTGCTTTGTGTCATGAACTGGGATCTATATAGCTTTGGTTTTTTTCCCTCTCATGAGACCCTTGGTTCAGTATAGCCTGAGGGAGTTGGCTTAACCCTCTTCTGTGCCCCTTCTCTGCGTTCTGTGTTAGGGAGCTGCAGTTTCAGCCTTCATGAATGTCTCATTGGCAGAGTCACCTACATCCGAGTCACTTCTCCCCTAAGACTGTAAAGTGCTCCCCACCTTTTTTTAAAGAGAGCTCAAGAAAAGACACTTGTAAATGCTGCTTATTAAGGACTGAGCCTGGAAGTGGCAGTGGAGCTGATTTATTGTTGCCAGAGTTGGCACGGGCGGGATGTTTTTTTGTGGTGCAGTCACCTCTGGTGTGAGGCGGTGCCACAAATACTGGTGTTGTGAGAAACCCTCGTGTTGGAGCAGCTGAGGGACTTGTGTTAGCAGGGACAAGCTTGCTCACGTTTGGAACACTTGGCACACCTGGACACAGAAAAGCAAAGGCCACTGCTGAGTGGCTCAGGGGCCAAGATTGCCCCAGGCATCATTTGTCCTGCAAAATGCATGTAGTGACTAACCAGCATTTAATTACAGAATTGCAAAGCTCCCACCAAAGGGAAGGACAGACCTGCCATTAGAGGTACACAGGAATATGGGCATTTCCTCAGTTTTGTGTCCTGGTTTTTGCTTTAATTGCATTTAAGGATAATTCTTAAATGTAGTCACTATAAAAGGCAACAGCAGCAATAGAGCCTGTGTCTGTGACTCAGCTGCTCTGGGAAGCAACTTGACTTTGCTGCTGGAATGGGAGACATGGCCAGGGAATGCTGGTTCCTGCCCAGCTGGCAGAGAAAAAGAACATCAACTGGCTTTCTATGTGGTGGCCCATGAAGCAAAATCACCAGGAAATGAAAGTGCAGAACTGCCTTCAGTAGCAAATACTTCATTCACCTTGTCTGGTTGAGGAGTTTACCTTTCCTTGACTGCCAAGAATGTATAAATGTCAGCTGATCTCTTCCCCAGCTGTTTCTGGATAAACATCTCTTGGATCTCTTGCTCACAAAACACAGAAAGGTAATGTGGACGTGCAGAGCTTATTCTTATGGGAAAAGACACTTGAGACAAGAATGTTGTTCAGGTTAGGGGCTTCCTATATCAATATATATCAGCTGGCAATCCAAGCTGATGGCAGCAGCTGTGGAAGCAGACAGCACCAGTGTACAACCATCCAGATGTGGCAAGAGATGAGAGGGAAGTGAAAGCTGTTGCCAGCTGAGCTCCTTGTGCACAGGAGGGGATTCAGTCCCAGTAACTGGTTGAGTTTGTCTCTGAATGCTGCTATAAAAGTTGAGGAGTGATATCAGTCCCTAAAGAGAGCAAAATATGTAGAGCACTGTGGTTTGGGGAAATTGAAACATGGTCATCATCAGTGAACAGTCCGTAGGCTCAGGAAGTGGTGTAGACAGCACTGCATCCAAATTTGTCAATCCAGTGGATTTGCTTTGCAGGCAGTAATTTGATGAGGAATTTTTGCCCCTCATGAAGGCAGCTGGATAAGGTGCTTTCCTTTTTTTTTTTTCTGGGATGCTTAAAGGCCTAAGAGACATAGCTTATATATCTGTAGTGTCAATAGCAGCCACTCCTCCAAAGCCTTTTGTCTCCCAGCTGAGTAAGGCAAAGAACTAGGACGACAGCTCTCCAGAAAAGGTTTCCTGACTTTGACACTTCTCAGAGGTAATCCTTTCCCTGCCCAGCAGCCCAGACAACTCTTGCCTCCTGCTCATGCCCTGCCAGGAATACCACACCTACCCCCACCTCCCTGGTGTCTCTCCAGGCCTCCCCTTCTCCCTGTCCTTTCTCAGAGGGCCGTTTTGCTTTGCCTCCAACCAGAGACAAACATCCAGATCATTCCTGCAGGTCTCCAGCCTCTGCTCCCTGGCCTCTGGCTGCAGCAGCAAACCTGGTGAGCTGTGCTCCCTGGTAGGGCCAGAAGCATTCCACATCCTGCCTGTGGGGTGCAGCACAGTCATATAGACCCAGCTACAGAACCAGGGTAACTTCCCTTAATTTCTTTTTCACCCTCAGTACCACCTACTGAAGGCTGCTCTGCTCCCACAGATGGGACTTCTTCCTCTTCCTGTGTCCCTTCTGGTGTGTCTTTCCTGCCTGTCTAGGTTTGGCTTGTCATGAAGGACTCTCTGCTATGCTTCCCCAAACAAACTTGGCTCTTAGTTCTAATTTTCCCTCCTCATTTTGTGCACCTAAACCAATGCTTTTTTTCAATCTAATAAACAGAAAAGAAGGTATATCAAAAATACTACTTTTTTTCCTCACCAAAAATCCCCACACCATCAACCTTGTCACACCTTACATAAATATTGATGCAACTGTTGATCATTAGCCAGGCTTTCAGTTATCATGGGGAGGAAAAAAGATTCTTTTCCACATGCTCAGGCCTTAATTAAGTTTTCACAGTCACCTTCTGCTTTCATCAACCCTCCAGTGCAGGCACATACAAGTGTGTATACACACAAATGTACGTACGTCCACAAACAGGGACTACAGCATCAGAAAGCCAGCTCCTTTCCAGTAGCAGCAGCACAAGCCTGATGTAAGTTCTGTAACATTTTTGGGAGAGGTCCCGGTATGGAGGTTAATTTCCTTCTTAATTTAAAGAGTGAGGACATCTCACACATTTTTTTAATAACCTTGGCAGCACCAAACAGTCCTCCCTCCGTGTTTGCTATCTGACTGGAGCAGTTGTGGAGAATTAAATTTTACTGTACAGCTCTGGTCAAAAGCAGAAACACTGGGATGCAGCAGGAACACATTAAGCATTATTATTATAAAAGCAAGTTCTCACTTTTGCAATGGAAGGCAGGGAAAATGAGGAGGTCTCTGAAGTCCTGTTGTGTCAGAGCAGGTAAATGGTGACAGCTAGGGTAGTATTCAAAGAACAGCACTATAAGTAACGCAACAGATAAGGTTCAACCTGCCAAAACCAAAACAATCCAATGATCTGCTGTTGTCTAAGCCCTCGTGTCTGGACTTTGTGCAACTCAGATGGGTTAAAAGCAAGAGTATCATTTCCCCTTGAGGAATATGCCTTGCAAAACAGCCATGTGGTGTTGTGCACCTGGCCACAAACACCTGTGGGTGGTGAGGAGTGCCTGGCTGGCACACTGGGGCAAGGTGTTAACTGCCTAAGGGCTGGCTTCAGAGGGCCTGGGGTGTTTGGGACCCTCTGTGGGGTATTTCCAGTCTGCCAATTATGGAGGAAGAGCCTTAGGCAACCTTACCAAAGCAGCTGGACAGACAGGATTCACCCAGCCAGGGAAGGAGGACATCCTGGCTGCCACGCCTGTCCTTTCCCTTCTCATGCCTCAACAACCATCAATGCCTTTGCAGGCAGGCAGTGATTTGGGTCAGTGCACAGTACCTGAACAATTTAATCCTGGAAAACAGTAATTAGCTCCTCGTGGTTGGGCAAGCAGGAGTGGAGTTCCCTGCAGTCACAACTGCTGTGATGCAACCGACAACCTATGGTGTGGGACCTGCAGCTGGGGGAGGAAAGGTGGGAACGTGCAGAAGGCTCTAGATTGGTTTGCAATAATTTCAGAAGCAATCATTAGAGAATGTAACCCCAGGGCTTTAAGCCAAGAATACAATATGCCAAAAATTGTGGAAGCATCTGAACACCTTCCTTCTGGGTATTCTGCAAACTATGCTTTCCTTGGCCCCTCCTCAGGATAAATGCCTGTGTGGCAGAGCATCTTATTCCATGGACCTTTTCCCATGCAGACACATTTGTGCTACTTTTTTTTTAAACTCTTCAACCTGATTTAGGCAAGACAGGTTCAAAGAAATTCCTGGATCTGGTCAGCTCCTGCTATGATGTCAACTGCCCCTTTGTAAAAGTAGGTATTAGTGTAAGAGAAGCATAAGGTTTTACATTTAAGTTGATATAGGCTGCATGAGCCAATATCTTCCTGGCAGAAAATTGTGCTCCAGTGGACTAACACATGTGATTCCATAGTGTGGCCACTGGATATTGTCTTTGCTCCTTATAAACATCACACTATCTGTATTATTGTCCCATGGGGAACAACAAGGTACTCCCAAAACAGAAGGCAGATCCAACACCAGCTACAGCTGTTGATGGAGCACATGCAACCACCATGGGTGCTGGAACATTTGAATAGTGACAAGTGAGAACAAAGCAAATGCAACATTTTACAGGAAATTTAAAGAAGCCAGGGTAGATTAAAAAAACAAGGAAGTCTGGACTCCAATTATTGTTCCAGTGGTTAATAAAATCTTCAATAAAAGCACAATGGGAATCACTGGAAGTAATCCTTGTCAATTATCCCTTTGACAACCATCTGGGAAGTTTCATTTCACTGAGAGACCTATAATTGTGTTCAACCCCAGGCAAAGTATTTCCCAGATAAGAAAGCACTGACCACCTTATTAAGGGGCTCCTGGGCAGAACAGTTGAGATGCTCCTTTCACAACAAATGGGATTAGGGGGAGAAGCTTCTGTTAGCTGACACATTTGATATACTTTAAAAAAAGAAAAAGAAAAAATATTAAGAACTAGAGCAAATGAAGGAAAAGGCTATGATTTTTTTTTGTTATTTCCCAGATGTTTTTGAATACTGAAGAGCAATTTTGTTCTGGGTTCAATCTTTTCTGAGAGCAGGCACTGCTAGGAGATGTGATCTCCCTTCTCACTCTTCCCTTACATCTAATGCAGCACTCACATGGGCAAAAGGCAAAAGTTGAGGTTGAAATTACTGTTGCTAAGGACAAACAAGATGAGAAGACAAAAATAATTAGCCTTTCTGTGTCTTGGGAAATGAAGAAATCTATTGTAAAACCGTACAAACCTTAAAATCTGGGCAAGGGAATGGTGAAACAGCCTCTAGTGGAAGCAGCCCCCAGTTAAACTAAATAAAGCACAACACAAAACTGTACTCTGGCAACTTTGCTTGTTTCAGGTGATGGCTGTCTCTCACAGACCCACTCTGTTTGCTACTTACATAGCTACTGTTTATCCAACCTTACAGGCCAATGCTGGTAAAGATATTCACCCCACAACAAACCAACTTGTAAAATTTATTTTGCGTCATTCCCACTTTGACAGGTTGTTTACTTCACAGTGCAGCTGGATGAGCCTTTCTCCAGCAGCAACACTGGCCTAAGAGCAGTTTTACCCTCCTCCAGCCCCATGGCTGCATCCGTGGTTGTTCCAGTATATCAGGCAGCCACACACCCACCTGTCCCACCCCCCATGCTATAGCAGGATTGCATCCAGGTGGGTTTTCACTGTTTCCACAGGAGGAGACTCCACTGCCTCTCTAAACAGCCTGTTCCAGTGCTTACACTTTCACTGCTGTCATTTCCCATTACTCAAACTACTGTTTAGGACATCCTGAAACCTAAAAGAGTTTCAAAGGTGAAGTACAAAAAACTAAAATTAGTTTTTGTTTTGCTGCCATGATTTTATCTATCTCAGAGCTATGCTTTGCCTATAAAAAAGAATACAAATACAAACAACAATATTACATGTATTGGAGTAATACTGAAGGCAAGAAATACAAAACTGATGCATACAACTTCATTTCTTGATTCCAAAAAGTCTCATCCCTGTATCATGTCACAACAGCTTGAGTAGACCAGAAGACTCTAAGACTTCAATTGTTATATTGAAGATAATCATTAGTTAATAATGTGTAGCAGAAAATTTTAATAGGCAAGCAAAATTATCCAAGTGCCTTGCAGTGAGAAACCCAGCACTGCAGGGTACAGCTCCACACTTCCCTAGCAGAGGAAAGGAAAGCACAGTGGAGTGCTGAGTTGTTCTCAAGTTTAGGGAAAAGACTTCTCTAAACCCTTTTGTGAATTTCATTAGGTGAAGGCAGGGGGAATACAGCAAGGTCTGTAGTAGAGCTGCTTGTTCCATTTCATGTTAAAAGGCTATCTGGCTTGCTGCAGGGCAAGAAAGAGACTGCAGGCTGTGAAATCCCTCCTCTTTAGTGCTGGTAAATCTGTCTGGTTGAAACCCACTTGCTCTGCAGCAAGAATACTTTGTACCTTTCCAAAGCCATGAAATTCCAGGACCAGCATTTACCCCACTGGTTTTTAACCTATGAAAAAGCTGGAAGCAGGTGTGGCCGTCACTCTTGGAGGAGGATGGGTAGAATAAATAAGTGTTCTTACAGCAGACACCAAGCATTTGAGACAGATTTATTTAGTATCCAAAAGTGTTAATTAAGCTCACAGACCGACACATTAATATATACATAATTTTAAACAGAAACTAGCATTTTCAATGACAGGGTGCTCAGGTTAGAACTAGTAGAAAATCACTGTCTCCCATTAATTTGATGTACACTTATCCTGGAAAATGACTGTAATAGCAAGGAAAAGGCACCTTTACTTGTTAAGTTTTAACCAGGACAAATCTAAACAAATAAAGAAATACTTGTGGGCTTCTCTAGACGTTTGCATATCTTGAAGACTTAAAAAAAATGTGGAGCTGAGTTCAGAAAAACATCCACTTATCCCCATCTCCTGCGATAGTCTCTCCCTTCTCATGTGTTGCATGTTTGCCCTCACATAAATGACAGAATTTCAGTCATCAAATGGAAGACAAATAGTAAGAACAGTCCTGGAGTCACTTAGAGGAACAGCTGACACTGGAAACAGCAAACTGGCTCCAAATAAGGATATGGAGCTGGGTTTCTGGTGGAAAACAATAAAAGTGCTGGTAGAAAAAAAATCCTAATTCCTATGACTACCAAAAGAGTTCCAAACAGCTCTGAGAACTTCAGCTTGGTCAGCTGGGTTAGATGTGCACATTTAGAAATGACACCAGCACTGAAGAGAATACACATGGCAGCAGCAGGAGAGGAGGCAATCGCCTACAGGCCTGCCACCAAATTCTTCCAAGCAGCTGAAGGTACACATAACCAGTAACAATTGCACATTTCAAAGGATTCACAGTAGAGCCGGAGTCACCTTCCAGAGCTACAAAGAAACCAGATGCATAGCACCTGATACTATGTTGATGCACAAAGAAAGAAGCTGCATGGGAAATGCCTGTCTGCCAGAGTGGTAACAGTCAGTCTGGTGCAGGGATGTGTCAGATACATCCTAGCACTGCAGAAAGGATTAAAAGCACAGAACTGCTTTAAACAGTAAAGCAGGAATTACTCTTCCAATACAAAACAAATTTACTTGTTTCTGTTGAAGATATCAAATACTGTTGAAGCACCAGACTTCAGCCCTGAAAGGATGCAGAGTCACTGGAACAGTGATATCCAGAGATATCCACTTTTGAAAGCAATATACTGGACTTTCCTTTTATTACAATCTAACTGCACTCTACAGCCTACTGAAAATGCAATCCTACACAACAAACAACTGAAGCACCACCTTGTACATGGATCTCCATTCCTCTTTGAAGTGCAATATATTTACAACCCCTCATTTTGCCAATAATGTCAACAGAGTATTAAGCACAAGCTGTTAGTTCAAACAAGTACATCCACATCATGGATAAAGAATTGTTCTCCATTAAAAAAGCCGGTTCTTGGTATGGCTCTTTCTTCCCACCAGTGTTTCCTTTTGCTTTTTGAACATGTTATGATTTGGTGATAAGATCCATGAATATGAAAGTTTCAACATGGTCTTCAGTTTCATTTCAGATGTTTGTCTTGAAAACTCCACGATATCTTCTAAAAATATACCCAGACATGTTCATGAGCTTATTTAAATCATATTTTGAATTAGCAGAAGACAGAAATATTGAAAACGTGTCTTTTTTGTCTTGACAACAAAAAATGAAGGGTCATCTAAAGTGAGATTACTCAGATTGATTCCAACTCCCAAGTATAGTAAGATATCAACTTCTATCAGTGTCACTCTGGGTTGTTGTTCCTTACATGTGCCTTGTACCTCCTATTTAAATAATCTTTACAGACTCTAATTTTAACAGATAATCAACAAGCATTATATTACATTGAATCAGGAACATGTACGCTTTGATAAAGTTGTGATAAAAACTTCCTTATATTCAAACTGATGGTGTTCTTTATAAAACTGCAACTCAGTTGTTCTAAGATTACTCATACATATTGTAGCTTTTCATTTCAAGTATTTTGCCTTTACCGAAACAAGTTTGAAATCAATTCTTACTTAGATACTTTTCACCAAATTCTTTTGTTTTATTGCCTAAGTTTACCCAGAAAGAATTCACTGGGTAAACTTTTGTTGCCACAAAGCAAAGTATTCCTACAGATAAACCTACAGTAAAAATCTGCCTTTTTTTTTTTTTATTTGGGAGGATCCAAACACACCACCAGCTATAATATTTATCTAATATGAATAATTAAGTAATATTAATATAATAACTGCCAATATAATATTGGCAGTTATATACCATGCCAATACCCCAGTTATTTAGTCAGAGAAACAAGAGCTGTTTTGATAGTCAAATAACAAGCAACTATGTGAATTTCTAAGTGCATTAGTGCCTCTTTGTACCTCCTACAAATTAAATTACTTAACCAAATTTGTGAAGTGTAATCATACCTGTTCTCTTTGTTGCTGTAATCCCTGGAACCACTTTCATATCTTGTAGTATTTCCTGCCTTGATCTCCATTTCCTTGGCTTTAGAAGAGTCTCCCTTATGATTATATTGGGAAAGCATCTATAGGAAACATTAAACAGGAATAAAAAGAATTACCTAAGAACTCAAACCAGATGAACTAGTTCTATCTATAGATAGAACTAGGCTCTTTTAATTCTAGTATCTTGATATTAAAATTTGTTAGGGAAAAAAAGCGTATTAGCTAACCTTTAGAACATTATCTGGTATCCTTGTTATTTCTGGAGGCGGAGGAGTATTGAGTAAATGGTCATAGTGTTCCAGTTTGGGAGGGGAAGGGTCCTCAGTATGTTTAAGGTACTCATGAGAGCTTGCAGCAAAAGGAGTTCTTTCTTCTTTGTATGGTGCATCTTTTGCATCATTCTTTGTCACTGACTCAAGCTTTGTCCCTGGTGTTACCTGCTGCTGCAGAAGAAGTATTAACACCTTCAGTTAATTTACTTTTGTTAGGTAAAGTATTTGGTAGATGTTCTTACATAATTACTATTAGAAAGAACTTTTATAGTGACATAAGAAAAAATAGTATTGGAAAAGAATCCCAAACTGACATTTTAAAATCTGCTTATGGCAAAGTGTGTGAAAAGGTACCTAACTGGTATTTACTACCTTAGCTTCTGCTTTTAGCCATCTTGTTTGAAAATCTGGACACTGTGGTGTTGCTGCATGACTGGGAAGAGGCAGTTCCTTGGTCTCTGGTGAGCTTGATAATACTGTATTATTTGTTTTGGAAGAGTCCTTCACATCAGGAGTACAGAACACAAATACCATAGGAGTAGACATCCAGTCAGCTGCTGCTATCAAGGTGAGCGAAATAAAATTAAAAATTTTACGTACACACACACACATATATATAATTACTACCAGTTCCAGTTTCATTTTCTAAAACATAAAACATGTGTATCCTTTTAGTTGATATTTTGCTTGATTCATCCAAATTACAGTATTCCTTAAAGGCAGGTAATGCAAAGTAGTAATTCTAGTCCTACTACAGAATATAACTGAAAAAGGCCAACTTAAATCAGCATTGCTTTACCTTCTCATTTACCCAATTGTCACCATGTTGGTCTCAAGATTTTTAAAATTACCTATTTCTCCTCTCAAAGAAGTCTTAGCATTAATTTTGACAGTCTTAAATTACTGTCTTGCTAGCCCCTTTCTTTCCTGTCTTTAAACAGATCCAATAGGTATTCTCAGGAAAAAAAAAGCTAAGTTGGCAAAATAGTATTTTTATTTCAAACATGGATAAGCTGCAGTTACAAAATTATAAATTCCTCTGCGTAGTTCTAATTGGATAGGAGTACAAGAATGAGAAACAATTTATAGGAAGTAAGAAACTTTCCCATAGAAGCCACCAACATTTTTGGGACATTATTACTCACACAATGACCTGCCTTGAATTAAACATATTTAACCAGAAAAACAATTAAAGTTAACCAATGTGTTTACAATACACTTGCACATGCATTCTGTAAAAATGCGTATGTATATTAATTTAACAGATTTTTTACTTACCATTCTCTGCTCTCTTACTTGATTTTGATGAAGGAGTAACCATGATTTCCTTGATGGTCATTTCTGGCAAATTCCCTCCATTATCATCTCCTCTTTTAGCAAACCTGAAAACAAATCTCCAATTAGCTCTCAAGTATTATGAAGAAGTCACAATTAAAGGAATATTGCCAACCTAGTCACTTTTCTAGTACCCATTTATGAATAAGCAAGTAAAAAAATCAGTTTTCTCAAATATGAATTTTTTACAGATTTTTTCATGTGTGATTCTATTGCAATTTGTGGTATGCAAATGTTCAGTCCAGCCACAAATGATCAAATATACTGAGGGTTTCAGTCTAAGGCATTAAGAAAAAACCAAACCTAAACCAGATGTCCAGGGTACAACAGATGCCACAGATGATCAATTCTGTGTTAGGGGTTTTATTTTGAATTGGCTGTTGACTATGAAATTATATAGAACAAGAGGAAATATTTTCTGCTTTTAAACTAATAAGGGTCTTGTGAACAGGAAAAGATTTTAAATTGAATTGTTAATTTTAAATAAAAGTGTTTATCTTAATCAAATACTATAGAGCTTTCAAATAATTTTAGTAATTACATAACTATTTATAAGGAGAGATCCCAAAATTATTTTAAAATAAAATTTAGTGATTTCAAAGTGACAAGCTATTTAATATCGATCCCATAACACTGGAGACAGAAATTTTAAAAATTATTTTTTCATATCCAAGATTTTCTAGTGAAAAAATGGCATATACAGTTAAGAGAATACTAGGGAAAAAGTGGAAACTTACCTAACCTACATACAAATCTGTGTCTTTAAAGAAAGTTATTTTAAATGTTTAAAAAGTAATCTTAACTATCATAACCAGATTTAGATCTTCTCTACAGAATGTCTAAGCTGCAAAACAACAACACAACCCCAATAAACAGTATAGGCTGTATATTTTACTTCGATGAACACCTCTAAAACTTTGGGTTAAATAAAAAAGTAACTTTTCAAGTCAGTTTTGTCTTTTAAGTCATAGAGGTAGTTGAAATGATATGATTTTTAGTTTTTACAATGAGTAGAACCAGTAGAACTTTTAAAGTGGTTTTTGTGCACATGATCCTTGTTTTCAAAAACAATTTCTCCAAATATCAAATATTTAGGTAAATTTAAAATGGAACATATTGCTAATACTAACTATAAAAACATGATCTGTTAACTATGTGCATGACCTCACTGCAGCAGTTATTTTCCTTTATAATTAGAAAAGTGAAAATCTAGAGAAATCTTTTCAACAGAAGACTGGAGCAAAAGAAACAAACTCTAAGGTGGGGCTTATGTTGAAGACTATACAGTGCTTGTAAAAATTTACTGAATGCTTTACAAACTGTTTTCTGTTTATATTAATAAAGCTTCTGCAACCTTTACAGTGGCTGTGTAGTATCTATGGCAGAAAGCCCAGGCTCAAACCTTTGGTTAAGGAAAACAGATCACATTGTATGTTTCTCTTTGTAAATGCATTGTGCACGGAAGATTCTTATGGTGCAGTCAAGGCAAGGAGCACAGCAGATGTACTGCATGTCAGCATCTGGCACTGCAATGGGTACGTGAAAAGATGTGCAGGGAGTTCAATGACACAGGACCCAGCAGCTGAGAGATAACAATCACCCACCTCAAGACAAAAGAAGGACAATAGGAGCAAGAAATTAGTACAGCAAGAAGAAAATACAGAAGATTCAGTAGAGAAATAATCTGAATTCCAGCAACTTACTTTTTGATAGCCTGAGAAGTTTTCTGAATAAGTGACATGGTATAATCTTCATTCATGCACATGGTATGTTCACTAATGCCAAAGTGCTCAAGCTTCGGTGTCACACACTCGTAGTCATCCATTTTCAGCTTACATTTGGGTGTTTTGGGCAAGGCCTGAGGCGTTGGCACTCTCAGTGGAGTGTCACTCTGGGCCTTTGGCTGGCGTGCACTGGAGCTGTGCTGTGCCCTCAGGGCGCCCCAGGGCCGGGGGAAGGCGTACTGCGAGAGCCCGAAGTCGGAGAGCTGCGGGACGGGCAGCGCGTCTTTGGGTAGCGCCGCCTCCTCTGCAGGAGCACTGAGCTGAGGCACAGCATCTGCTTTTTCTGCATCAGATTTATTCTGGGCACACATTGCTGATTCACTCTTAGCTTCATCATCCTCTTCTTTTTAAGAAAAGAAATGAGAAAAAAATTATGTCAGAAATTGTGACACTTCCCCAGTATTCAATTGTTTTTACTTAAAATAGATTCCTTCTTTCACTTTAAAGTACTGAACCTGAAGCTACACTCATATGGCTAAGCTATAAATATAAGTCACACATTTACTGAGTTTCACTCTATTGGTAAATATTATTTTCAGGGAAAATGAAATTCAAAGATTTTTACATAAATGTATTTTACTCCCTGCATGGAGATGAAAAGGTTTTTGGGGAAAGAGCAAAGGCTGCATACAGTACTAAAATGCTCATTCTTCAGAAAAACAATATTGAGGAAAGGTTATGAAGCAGTAACTAAAAATTTGTGAAAGGGGACAGCTTTTTCAGTAATAATAGTTCACTGCAAAAATACGTTAATATTAACTACGTTTGTACATTTTTGGAGTTAGATAAAGCAAAACACCCCAAAATGTCTGTCAATTTCTGCATGATGTAGTAAGTAAAGGACAATGAATATGGTGAAGGGTCTGGAGCACAAGTGCTGTGAGGGGCAGCTGAGGGAGCTGGGGGTGCTCAGCCTGGAGAAAAGGAGGCTCAGGGGGGACCTCAGCACTCTCTGCAGCTGCCTGACAGGAGGGTGCAGCCTGGTGGGGGCTGGGCCTTTTCTGCCAGGCAACAAGTGATGGGACCAGAAGACACAGTCTTAAGCTGCAGCAGGGAAGATTTAGGTTGGACATTAGCAAGAATTTTTTCACAGAAAGGGTAATTAGACGTTGGAATGACTTCCCAGGGAGGTGGTGGAGTCACTGTCCCTGGAGGTGTTTAAGGAAGGACTGGACATGGCATTCATGGCTGTGGTCTGCTTGGCTTGGTGGTGTTCAGCCACAGGTTGAACTTGATGATTCAGAGGTCTTTTCCAACTTAATTGATTCTGAGAGGTGGGCAGGGGGAGGGAGGCTATTTAAAGTAATATACCTTCTGGTGTGCAGTGGTATTATCTGTTCAGATACACTTAGCTTAAAAATACAACTTGAAAAATAATTTAACCTGCAGCTCTGATTGGAGATTTCTTTAAAGGCAAAGAGTATAGGAAGAAAGGCACTATAAAAAAATCAGAGCTTTCTGCCCTATCTGTGTAAAACAGCTATAGGAGCTTAACTTGGACATCAATATGGTTCACAACCATAATTTTGTTTGGTTTGGTGTAATGACTGGATAATGCTCAGAGCAAGTTCAGACCATGTCAAAAGCTTTCTGAAGCCTGATTGGGCCCTTGGTACCAAAAGGGGTATGAGCAGTGTTGACAGGTGTAGTCCTTGAACTCATTTGGCACATCTGGATTTTTCAGACGGTTCTATGTGCATTTGCTGACTGGATTAAGGACCTCCTTCCCCTCCAATGATCAAGGTGCTACTGCTTGTCACATGCCACCTAATTCCTGAGCATTCTTGTCCCATTTGTGCTGTGAAACAGGCACTTTAAGATTTTCTCTAGGGTGACTTAAGTAATGAAACCATCACATGTGAATACAAACCAGCTGAGGTGCATCTACAATAGTTCCTCATGCATGAGAAGCTAAAGCAGCAAAAGTCTCTGGGTTATCAAAACATGCTTGCTAACATGTTTTCTGAATATAATTATTACTGAAAAAAACCCAAAATCCGACATACGCTAACCTAAAGGCATGCCAGAAGATCTAATTCCAGGTGTTTGTGTTTTGGTTTATTCTCACAGCACCAATCACAACAAAATCTACCATCTGGCTATTATTATAAAGCAAATAACATGGGTGTACTTGATTTCCTAATTAATAGAAATATACACATAGCTAAAGAGAAACATTTTATAAAAATGATACTTCACATACTGTATTGACAAGAAACATTACCTGTAGAGTCTTTGACATGTGGTTTGTAGCCATATTTCTGGAACAGCTCTCTTATTTTTCCAAGATCTGCTGCATTTCTTTGCATCAAGAGTTCACTTGCCTTCATAAATTCATGAACTGCTTTTTTTTCAGAGCAAATCTTACCAAGACTGGCGCTAACATCTTGCTTTGGGGACAGAGAGGGAAACAAAGAAATACTGGTTTGCAAATCGTCACATGGTAGTGTACACATGAAGCATTTTGGGAGTAAGTATTCAACTGCAATTCAGATGAAGATGAGCAGCAAATTTAGGTCTTTTCTATACCTGAAAACCATCAGGTATATATACCTACAGAACACCAGGAATATATAGAGCCCAAGTGTATGGAATCTTATAAAAGTAACTGTGATGACAGTTCACAGTGTGATAACTGCTTACTGGTAACCTTGCCAAGGAATTATATGCTTTTACTCCAGAAAAATATGAGGTAACAGCAATTAGTCTGGACTCTTACTCCATATATATAAAGAATAAGCGCAGAGCAGAGGGTAAATCTTACTTTTATATCACTCAATTATTTCTATATTGCTCATTTCTATAACCCATTTTTTCTACTTCTGTATAAGAAATAGACACCATTATTCACAAGTTTACCTTAATGGCTGAAGGTACTGAAACTTCTGTGAAGATTGATTTTATTCTAAAGGCTGGTCATGGAAAACAAGCAATTCTCATTTGTTGGGAGCTGCTGTTCCTGAATCATTCTCCTCATACCTTGGCACTGCTCCAACTTCCTTGTAACCTTTGTTCTCTGCTTACCTGAGTGACAGCAGCGACTGCAAACTAAGAAACATTGCTAAACCTTCTTTGGGTCACTCACAAGTTTTTGGGCATTACCCAATATTCATGGCCATTACGGGGACTTAGATGTAAGTGAGTAAATATAAGGGTTATAACTACTGACTAACAAAATTGAATTGTGGCTTAATGACAAAAACAGAACCATAAGTTTATGGAACATGCACACACATGTAATTTCTCAAGAAGGAAGCAAGTTGTTACCTTCTGAGTCTTGATTTCACCTTGGAGGTCATGCAGGACTGTGAGCGGAGATTCATCTTCATAGTCTGAGATGAATGTTCACATAAAAGAGTTTAGAAAGTAAAAGAGGTGCCTTAGTGTTTTAGCATGAAGGTAACATTCTACATGGCAATTTCCTGCACTAGCAGATGAGCTGTCGATGTGCACTCACTGACACTGAGCTGTGAATGGCCATGAGCTGTCAGTGTGCTCCCACAGCCCAGAGAGCCAAACGTGGCCTGGGCTGCATCCAGTGGTGGGCAGCAGGGCCAGGGAGGGGATTCTGCCCCTCTGCTCTGCTCAGAGCCCACCTGCAGGGCTGCACCAGCTCTGGGACCCAGCACAGGGAGGACTTGCTGGAGTTGGTACAGAGGAGGGACACTGGCATGATCAGAGGGATGGATCTCTCAGCCTTTCCTCTCCTGCAAGGAAAGGCTGAGAGAATTGGGATTGTTCAGCCTGAAAGAGAGGCTTCTTCAGGATGAGCTAATTGCAGCCTTGCAGTACCTGAAGGGAGCTCACAACAAAGAGAAGGACTTTTTTTACAAAGGCATGTAGTGACAGGACAAGGGGGAACGGATTCAAACTAAGAGAAAGAAGATTTAGATTAGATATTAGGAGAAGTTCTTTGCTATGAGAACGATGATGCTCTGGAACAGGTTGCCCAGAGAAGCTGTGGATGCCCCATCTCCGGAAGTGTCCAAGCTCAGGCTGGATGGGGCTCTGAGCAACTTGGTCTAGTAGAAGGTGTCCCTGCCCATGGCAGGGGGCTAGAATTAGGTGATCTTTAAGGTTCATCCCAACTCAAACCATTCTGTGCTTCTATAATGTTAGAGATGTTGGACTCATAACCTAGAGAGAGTCAATACAGACAAAACCAAAGAGAACTAGTTCCCGTCAGGCACTTCACACAGCAAAAACCTGCTCTTTGTACAGCGTGTTAAACTCCACAGAGAAACTGCCCAGGCTTTCACCTTAATGTTGAAGCTAACACTGTATGTAACAGATACTGATAGAGCAAGTGGGTCCCCGGGCTGTCAAGAATTACTTGTATTAAAATTTTATCCCTAAAGAGGTTGGATGAAATCGGAAAAAAAGTGATATAGAGACCAGTGGAAAAACAAATCTCAGCAGAAAATGGAATTCTTCCATTGTATTTGCACGTGGGCAGATGCATTGCTCACTTACACAACGCAGCAGACATTGCTTTTTTTCACTGAAACCAAGGCTAACGCAAATAGTGTCAAAGAGGGCACCTGCTACATGACAAGACATAGCACAGAGATAAACACAGTTAGAAGCCTGAGCTATCTGTCGAGACAGAGAACACGCCCGGCAAACGTTTTCCTATATCGATCCACGAAAAGAAGGAGAAGCAAGAACAATGGCTCCCATTTCATCCCATTCCTCCTGGTTTTCTCCGTGATGAAAAAACGCAGCCACACACCCACAAAGGAGATCAGCGAGACAACGAGACCAGGAGGAGCCCAAACAATTCCCAGCCGAGCAATTCCCAGTCTGACCTCCGGGCCCACGGCAGGCGCTCCCAGAGGAGCAGGGGGGG